GTCATAGCCAGTGGCTGAACTCTACATATTCACAATTCAAGTTTCTAATAGGACAGTAAACAGTTGACCTGCACACGGCCTGCATGTTTGCTGGCTACATTGGAAAAAAATGCCAACCATTGCCGTCGGAGGATAAATCACCGCCAGCTGATGAGCCGATTTCAGAGATAAGCAGTAGAAATCTAATTTCCTGTTCTACAGTGTCTTCCTAGTGCCAGAACATAATTTGGTGGAGAAGTACCAGATCCGAGCTGTATTTTACACAGTACAATTTGTTTTGCCACAAAAACGTCATGTTTATGTTTTCTCACACAGTATGTTCCTCCTATCATAGTAAATATTAGTATGAGTAGCCCCCTATAGAAGTTAATCCCCTTCACCCTCTCCATACCCTCAATCCACTGAGCAGCACGGGCCATAAACAATCTCCACGGCTCGATGGGAGAAGGTGTTTTATTTCCAGACTCCTCATCCACCTGGACCACCGCTTTGTTTGATTTGCATTTCAGACTTACTCCCATTTGCAGGGCTGCTGTGATGGGGGGCATCGAGTGTGACGGAGAAGAGGATGAGAGACAGTCATTATTTATGTCTTCAGAAGTCAATTACACAGCAAACACAGCAGCGGCAGTAAATATGGATCCATCCAAAATAAGAAAGCCCATCTAGGTGTACCCAGTGACAAAATAGCTCAAGAGGTGAATGTGACACTTGCATGGTCATTTTTGATCATATATTTATGTTGCTCTGTTTTTAGAAGGTTCCTAAGAAACTGGCCTCCTTAATATTTTGTCATCCGGTACATAATGTAGATAATGTTCAACACATTATTGGTAAGAGACCAGAAAAACCTTAATTTCCCTTGCAAAGTCCAAAGTATGCCCTCTGAAATGTTCCCTCTAGCCTTCGCAAAACTTATATAAGGATCACATCAGATTCATGAAATAATAGATGTTTTTTTAGTTTTCTATTTTACACAACATCTTTGTCTATGCATGATTACATGTCAAAAGAGTTCTTAAGGGGTGCCGCAAGAATCTATTGTTGGCTTCTTGCTTGGTTTAACGTATATTAAAAATATGTACTATTTAGCAAGTTGCTCCAAAGAAATAAGGTTCTGTCTCCTGACCCAGACAAATTTTTTTAAAATGATGTAAGTGGCTTAATTTTAAGAAGATTACTTTATTCTATTAAACAAGTATTACCTAGAACATATATAAATAATCTGCTTTATAATACTGTAAAGCAGTTTTTCATCTAGAAAATCCACATTCAGGTACACTTTGGAATTTTGACCACTAGCTTGTCTGTGGAGCAATTCCTGTCGGAGGGCGTGTGCACGAGACTGCAAATGCACGCACACAAGCAGTGGTACAAGTGGTTCACACTCCTGCTGATGATGGCATGCTGTTCCACTGTTAATACATTATATTATTAATATATCTCTTATATAAACTTATTGATAACCAACATTAAAACAATCCATCCAAGGATGCGGCTATTCTAGCTTTACCAAATATGATCGCACACAAGATTATAGTGGATGGATTCATTTAATGACGCTTATGCCGATTATAAAAAATGTGTCACCCATTTTAGGGTTGCAAGAGCAGCAATCTAGAAGAATCTGGGGGAGAACATAAGGGAGCCCTAGGCTGCTGCATGTCCTTAACTATTGAAAATAAATCTCAGAAGTTGGACAACTTTGTTGTGGTGGAGGATTTCATTGGTCAATTTAGATATTTTTTGATACACAAATGCAAATCATTCTCCACAGTGGCCTTTATTCGCGTGACTAGAAATGTATCATTTGGAAATCCCATATGGCTAATGGACGTAGGATATGATATGTTTTGGAAGGCCCCAAAATATGCCGTCCTTCAGACACAACGTGCCACAGACCTTTAAAAAATATTACTGCGGGATAATAAAACACGCTTGATAAGACCCAGGGAAGAAGGCATGCCAAGGGTGAGGCAAAAAAGAATACAGGTCTGTGAGTAATGATCACAGTCACCATAGTCATATATCACCATCCTGAGAGAGATGACTTGGATAGGGTTGTCAGCATAAAGGGCTGACCAAAATCTGATCGATCCTCGGATTACAATCCCTCCTATTCTCTGCCATGATCACATGTTAGGCCTCAAAATATGAAGGCAAATCAATGTCAATATCCAAGAGTGCAAATCCAAAATTTGCGAGCAAATGTAGCTCTTGCGCGGGCGACTTGCTCGAAACTTCCTCCCCGCTCACAAGTTTTCTGTTTGACAGGAAGGGGGCCGACCCGGTCACCATGGTTTCTCTACATCTAATTGATTAGAAACCTCGTCTTTGGATTGTCTGGATGTCATTTCTGTTGAGAATTGTGCATCCCCAGAACTGTGTAAGCCCATTTCTGCACAAAAAAACAGACTTCATGAGTAGTACATGCTCACCACTTTTGCTGGCGAATGTTTGATTTGCGCTCTTGGGATTTTGACATTGATTTGCCTTGATATGAAGAGTTGATCCATGTTGTTTGATACCCCAAAACCTCTTAGCCAATTGGGCGCTGCATGTTGACCATCGTGAATCCGGAGGGATGAATCAGCAGGACCTTAAACTTTCAGCTTAGCGTTCCGCTCGCTAAAGGAACCGGTAACCAAGGTCATGTAGGCACAGTATGTGGTTCTCTTTCCGACATTCAATTAGCGTTCCTGTAAAACGGCAAACGTGAGTGAAATGTAATAACTGGCTCGGGGCGTGAGGGAGCAGTCAAATTGAAGGGTGCTGCAACAAATCTGACTGATGGACCAACTCTTTTATTTTCACAGTCTAACTGGTGCTGGCTTCCTTCCTCGCAGGACTCGCTTGTTTCATCCGCACCACATTTGTTAGTCGCACAAGGTAACCAGAGAGTGTTTTCAGGCCTTTTCGCCCGCAGCCCTGCCCACAGCAGTCATTAAGATGAATAGGACAATATGATGTCCTGACTGCTGCTAACCACGTGGAATTATGACCTCTGATAGCTGGAATGAGACCTCCAGGAACGTATCTAACGTTATCCCAGATGATGAGATTCATGCTCAAAGGCTGTGACGCGTGGTGCCACGGTGAGGTGGTGAGGAAGAGGCTTTTATGAGGAGGTGAAAGATTGCTAAGGGGAATAACCATGACAACTTTGGCCATTGATTTTTTTTTTTTAAACTTTACAATTCCAAAAACTTATTTTTGAAATGGTTTTCTACATAAACTATTTAGTTGTATAATTTTAAAGCTGGGGATCTAATATTTTGTTAATTTGTTGGCAGCTATTGGTCAACATACATTTTTAAAAAGGGTTATAGTGTTTATCAGGTTTTCTTTTAGAAAGAAAACAATTCTTATACAGTCGGTCTGACTTTACCGTCATCTCAAGCACTTGTTGTTTTCAAGTCAGTCTTTTTGAAAATCCACTCCTGGAAAAAAAGCTCAGAAAGCGCTGATGATCTGGCCTGCGAGACAAATACAGTGCACATGTTCCAAAAGGCAGTCAATGAGCCTGCATGTGACACAAGGGGAGCCACATCTGAACGTCTTGTTGAATCTTGTTTTTGGACTATTTAAAAGTTAATTATTTTGATATCCTTTAGTGTTACTCTCTTTTGGCCAGTTGAGCTTTATCCTGTTGGCTTTTCACGTCTAGCTAGCTCATAAAATTTAAGGCCTTCACACTTGCAGCAACTGTGAACCTGACCATAAAATGTGACAATAAAAATAACATTTTTCTAAAAGTGCAAGCTTCCACTCTGACCAACAGGTGTACTGATCATGGCCATAATCGACTGGTTCAAATAGTTCTTTTAAATTCCCTGGAAAAAACATTGAACATTAAACGAGTGTAACTGCAACCTCTAAAAGGTGTGATTTGATTCAGGAAATTGGAAACTGTTTAATAAAGGTCGGTGAAAAGATGGTGGTCAATCAAAGAAAACCGCAACAATGTTGCATTGCTTCCCAGATCCAAAAGTCATCGTTCCCCCTGACCACAAGAGGTTGTGAGTCTGGACAGACACGCACTTCACAGACAGTGTCTGTCCCAACATCCAAAGATGAGTCTCATATAGTCTCATATTACAAAGAAGTAGATTGCTGCTATACTTCCTGAATCCAAGCATTCATCGATCCCTTGCATCCAGAGCAGTCTCACAGCTGTCGACTAGTACGGAGCCCCAACGGGGTTAGCGGTGCATGCTGAGGCCTGAAACGTGGCACACGGATGAATGGCAGAACTGAGACAGCAGACTATTTGGTGGGGTTTATATAAGCAGCAGCCTCCTGCTGCGATTATCAAACCAAACCTGACACATTTCATCGCTCACCACTTTTTCCCCTCCGTCTCTCCGTTCTTCCTTCTCACAGCCACAGAGCTTTAGGCGCTTAAACAATAACAAAAGGCCCATTAGAGAGTAGCAGTAGTAATGCAGACTAATGGTGACTGTCGCCCAAACATCAACAGACGAGACTGTTGGTGCATGGACAAGCACAGGGAAGGAGAGACATTGAAGGCACTGCATGTGCTGCTGACTGAACCACTCTTTGAACTTATCCTCTACCCCTTGTAAACAATGGAGGGGGGTTGGGAGTGACTGTCAGCAAAGACAGGTAAAACAGGACACACACATGAAAAATAAACTGGATGGGAAGTTCACTGCAGGGAAACTACTCTAGATGCATCTATGCACAAACATTTAGAAAATGAGTTTCCTTTTTTTTGATTGTCATAGAAACATCCTGCAAAAGACAAGTTCATCAATTTCAGAGAATTGGCGACAAAGAAAGTGCAGGAATAAAAACAGCTGCGTCTCTGCGGGAATGTTACAGTGACTCCACGGTCAAACCACTGCACTGGGGTCACTTTAAAGTCAGTATACCACCGGGACGCGTTGTGGATATGAGAGGAAGGACTTCTGCTTGCAGAGGGCGTTTTTCTGTCTGCAAATGCTGGAACCAAACAAGCAAATAAAAAATTAAATTACCTGTTCGGCATCCTCCTCGGGACACGGCGGCTACCCTTCCAGCCAGATGCTCAGGACGAGGACCAGCTGGGATGCAACGCAGGTAAGAGAGCCTCTCCACGTGTCCCTCGGCACGGGGGCAAGTGGCTTCGGGTTTAACGGGGAAAAGTGGAGGCGGTTGTGCGCGGGTGGAATGGGAATAAATAGTCAGAAATCAGATGTCCCTCTCTGCGTGCGCGCTTGGACAGCCAGGTGCGAGTCCGCGGGAAGGAAAATACGCGTCCCGGGTCTCAACTAGAACATTTCTCCCTTTCTTCTTCGTCTTCTTCTTCTTTCTCCGTCAATTCAAGGAGACGTTAAGGTAAACATGGAAGCCCTTCAGGAGTGCACTTTCTCCATGAGCGCCCTCATTCAGCAGCCCCGTGGATCAGCGTTGGAGACGCGCGGACCTCGCTGCGTTACTGCTGTGGAGGAGTAGGATGCACGGGGAGAGCTGGGGCGTTTTCCTGAAGGAGGGGGAGGAGGAGGAGGAGGGGGGTGAGGAAGATGTCGGGGAAGGGCGGATGTGCGGTGATCCGCCCTGTGAGAGGGTTTAAAAGTTCCTATAAAAGTACGTCAGAGAGAACAGTTTCCATGCAGATTTCAGATGGAGAGGTTTACGAGGGTGGGTTTTAGACAATACATTTAACATCCAAAGATTTATCCTTGATGAAAACAATATGAACATCGTTTTCCAGTTGTGCGTTGGTTAATCTAAAATCCTGGTAGCCCTACTTATTTTGAAAAAACCCCAAAACAAAGCCAAAGAGAAAACGATACAAGTAAATTAAAGTGAGGAATTAATGTCGTCCTCGGTATCTTGGAATAACACCAGGTTTTCTAGACTAAAGTCGAGAACACCGTCAAAACAGAAACACTCTAACAAATTCCTGTAAATTTACTGTGCATTTCTAACGGTATCTTACAGTATGTCATAATAACTGTACAGTTAAATTTCTATCCCTTGCTTGTAAATTAACGACCAATGCCATGAAACGTGATCTCCAAAACCTGTTCGTAAAAATGTATACGAAAATCTTGAACATACAAATTCGTAACAATACATACAAACTGCCGGTGGTTAACCACGCCCCTTGAGTGAACAACATGGCGGACCATGTTGGATTCTTGAGTGAACGTCTCTCCGCCATGTTGGATTTTTTGAGGGGGTTAGTATAGTATTCTTATAATTTAACATTGATTTCTCATTAAAAATGCAATCATAACACGTTTATTTTACATCGTTTGACTTCACAAAGTGTGTTTATGGGGTGCAGGTCCCCATTCACTTTGAATAGGGTGACGTCATCAGTTGCAGTCCGTATTTATTTAGTATGTATCACTACGAATTTGTATGTTCGTATACATTTTTCCGAACAGGTTTTTGAGATCAGGCTGGAATAAACAGTTAAAGCTGTCAATTTACAATAATAGCAGACTACCGTAATTCAACTGCATGTTACATATATTTTATGAAGTGGTGGAAATACACATACACACATCTAAGTGCAGTGAATTACAATCCATCTACATCTGTAGGTTAATGAGAAATAATGAGATACGATGACGTCATTGACTTACAGGACATTACTATACATGCAGCTGTCACTTTTATCCAAAACGCCCATGGTTTGACATAATTTTAGTGGAGTATTTGGGGGTTAGGTGTCTTGCTCAGGGACACTTCGGCACAGGGAGTAGGCAAGATTCGAACTACCAACCTTGTGCTGCACAGCACACCCTCCCCATCCCATGCGCCACCTTCGCTGTCGTTCAATGGCTTATATGTAAATATTCTAAATATTTGTATTATTCAAAGTGTTCATTTCCTAAAAGTCATTTGAGTGTTAATCGTGACCGACTGCTCCTGAACGTCACGTCAGACGCGTAATCTCAGTTCACCTGTCAGTGCAGGTCAACATCGGAGGAGTTTCTCATTGCCTCGTCTCTCCAAGTAACGTTGGTAAGTGTTATTTGCCTAGCATGATTAACATTCTCTTTCCTTACATCTCGTTGTCTTCCTCATCTTTGTAATTTTCATATTTTCCAATGACAGTGTTTCTAAATTTTTTATTTTGGTTGTTTTACACAGGCACTGGATTAAGGACGCCAGCCGTTTGCTGTGGTCAATTGAAAGTGTTCCATAGCGTATTGTTGCAGTTAGTTTACTTTGTTCCTAATAATTTTATGATTCATTTTTTCATTATTGTATACATGCGACATATTTTATGTTTGGTTGTCTTTCTTTAATTCGTGGGGAATTAAATGCAAAAGTATACGGTTATAAGTAAACGGTAACATTCTGGTATTCATAACACAAAAACAGTAATTGTATGGTAATAAACTGTAATCCAATATACGACAACATACCGTATATTACGGTAGGGGACTGTAAATGAAACAGTAAGTTACTAGCGTCGACTGACAGTAAATGGCAGTTAATTCACAGTAAAATTGGTTCAAGTTTACGGTAACATACAGTACTCTATTTTACGGTAACATAGTGTAAAACTCATTTACGGTATTATACCGTAAAAACTGTAAATTCCTGGCGTCCTTGCTGCCAGTAAAATACCGTTAATTTACAGTAAAAAAATTTAGCGTGAAGATAACCTTTTCAGATGGTGACCCCTCATATTGAATCAATACTTACATTGTGCTTCACAAAGAAATGGAAACGCAAAGATTAGGAAAATACAAAAATAGAATGTTTCATCTGCTTTTCTGGGAAAGAACCTCCTGTACAATTTCCTAAAAGGTGCAATGTGTAATACCTTCTGTTCCAAAACAAGTACCACTCCACCTGCACTACAGATTTCATACAGTCTTTAAGAGCTAGCTATAAAAATGAACTATTCCCAAGCGTAAAATAATATTACTAAATAACAATCTTGCAGATTGGTTTCAACACATCCCACATAACAGCCACACACCCCTCAAATGAACACGAGTGTACATATTTTTTCTCTGTGTGGTTGTTATTATGACCAACACAATCCAGATGCATCATGCTCTTTAGATCCAGCAGCTTTTATAGACTCTTTATGAAATGGGATAAGTATATCAATTAATATTGAAAGTACACAATCATTACTGTTGAGATTTCTCTGTTTCTTGTGATTTTGTGTTTCTTTGTAGTTGTTGTGGCCTCTTCCTAATATTTGTTAGGCTAATTAATAGTTGTTTCCATTTGGTTTATTTGTCTCTTCATGGTGATTTTGTATCTCTCTCGTGTTAGTCTGTATAGTCATTTCTGTGTCTCTTCGTAGTTGCCTTTGGTTTTTTTTGGTGCTCTCTTTCTGGTTGGAGTCTCTTTGAGCGACATTGTGTAGGTGAAGGCCAGAGCAGCCCCTGACACTGTGGCCCCCCAGGCCTGTGCCCTGTAGCGCTCTTCAGTAATCCCACCATGTGTGTGTGGGTATAAGACACAGCGGAACATGCAAGCTGATATCCAGCTTGAACTTGAAGTGGAATGGACTTTATGTCACATCAACAACATTTGAGCTCTCTCTGTTCGCCTATATCCTCCCAATAAAACATCAGTCTGACAAGGCACATTTCAGCTTGCTGGTAAGCAGCTCAATCACGCAAGCTTGTGCGGGGGTCTTGCTGATGCATCCTATACTCTTTATTCTCGGATGGCTTGTGTCTCGCGCGCCTGCTTTGGGATGCCAGATGGTCCTGTGTAAGAACTTTGAATTATTCAGCCATCCCGCAGCAGATTGAAACTGCCGTGCGTTGGACCACTTGGCTAGCTTCTTCCTGTGACAGGGAACACCCGCAGTGGAGCGTGTCTAACGCTATCAGGTTACGCAACTCCACATTCAAATATCACCAATGCTCAATTCAGGCCGGGCTGTGAATATATACTGCAGCAATGGAATCATTATCTTTTTTTTATGTTTCAGATCAGACTCAGACTGAGTGTGTTTTGCTTTCACAGAGAGGGATAAAAATCATAAATTATTCACCTGATACGGCTTTTATGTGTGAATGCTAAGCTCACAGCGGCGCGGGCATCAAGAAACAAGCAGTTAAGCTTTTTAATAGATACACAGTTTCTGTTTGTGCCGTTGCCTAATGCATCACATTAAGCCAGCGTGTCAAACACAATTATGGAAATGACTAAAGTTGGACAGGAATGTGTGGAAATGCCATAAACCAAAAACATTGTCATAAATTTTCCACAGACATCGTGTAGGTCCTTAGACATTTAATGTGCTACAATTACCATACTGGCCATTAGTGATATTAGAGTGAGGCTTTACTGATGGCAGGGATCATGATTGCAGTCATAATTTAGCGGGATAACTCCTGTCACTTTAACAGAGCCATTGACACTCTGAATACACACCATTACAAAATACCGCAGTACAATATATCGCTGCATTAGAGTTGATAGATGTTCCATATTTCACTTTCTCCTCATTCGCCTCCCCACCTCAAAACAGCAAGACTTTGTCAAGGTTGAGCCGGTCTGAACTGAATGACAAGGATGTGGTCTCGTCCTTTTTGTTTCGGCGAGGGGCTAATCCTTTCAAAAAAGACGATAGAAGCCACTTGACGGGGAGGGCACTGCGTGCACACCTGAGTGTGTGTGTGTGTGTGGGTGTTGTAATCGTCCTGAGAGCGTCCCATTAATCCAGTTGTTGTGTGGGTGGGGGTAGGGTGGTGCTTTGATCCCCAGCTGAGGGGCTCTACAGCGAAGCTCTCCAGGCTAACCGGCTCCACCGCTTTAAAAAGTGAGAAAGGAGACTCCTTGTCTGATGGATGAATGGGTTAATGGCACGTCTTCAGTCGAGAGGCTCAGGCGGGCGCTTCTTTCCCGATGAGCGTTCCTGATTTAAGATGAGGGCCCTCTTGGAGACAGAGAAACAAGGTAGTTATGTACTCCACACAGCAACCTGTGTGGGAAACAATGCTGAGAGGCACACACAGTAATTGGATGAGGTTGGTACAGCGAGTATCTACTAATTGCGTTTGACTAATGTACAGATGTGTGCACACGTATGCAATGTGAACACTTCGGTTCAAGGCGAATTGTCTATCGGATGAAGACAGCGAATCAGGAACGTTTTTAAAACATTTTAAAGTAGTGGTTTGTAGCTTTGTTAAACATTAATTAAGTTAAAACCACGCAGTTAATGTAGTTTCTCCCCAGTCGCCAGAAAAGAGTTAGCGGTAACTTCTTTTTAAAAATGACAAGATACGTCAGAATGAAAACGTTTGATGGATGTGTGTTCCATCAGCCTTCTATCCCACTAGCAGAAATGTTCAATGCCATTTAGTTACCATGTTGGAATGATTTAAAAGGTCTAAGAGACAAATCAGCCTGGATAATGTTTGAAAGAAGTTTGCTGTTATGATAGTACAGAAGTACAATAAAAGTTTAATTGGTCAAATAATAACACATTAACAATGCAACGACATCAACAAAGTTACGTAACTTTGTGTTCCAAGAACAGCAGGT